TTTCTAATGCATTCAGCAGTTGTATAAACAACATAAATGCAACATAAAAATATATATATTGTTTTTTTAAATTTTGTGAAATTTCTAATTTCTAAAACCTAAATGCGGTTTCTAATGCATTTAGTGTAAATGCAACTTAAATTTTTTTATTTATTTATCATTTTTAGATGTATTTTATGTGTATTTGTTTATTTTATTTTTGCATGTTTCTCATGCATTCAGCATCCACACAAACCGAAAAACTGTGTGATTATGTTTTATATATATGTATGTGTGTGTATATATATATATATACATATATATATATATATATATATATTTATTAACAGATCCCAAATATCCTTGATTTAATAAAGGAAATTTTAAAGTCAAAGTCTCTCTCTGTCTCTCGGGTGCGTGTGACTCAAGGTTTCTGCCGTTTTGCCATGCCAACAAGGCCATTTGGGTTTATTTACCTTGAGAGACACTGAATGAGGGATTGAGGGAAGAACAGAGGGATTTTAATGGATGAGAGATGAATGAACGCTCAGGACTTTAATGAATAATATTAATACAGTCTCTCCTCTCCTTGTGCTGCTCAAATTGTTCAGGTCACACTGAAATGATCAGGACACTTGATCAAAATAAACTTGAGCCACTCATTTCTAACATATTTTAGGGCCCTATGAAATCTCTTTTATTTTATTTGACTTTATTTCTATTTTTTTCTGTATTCAGTTTATTTATTTATTTATTGGAGTCTGTTTTAATGGTTGAATTTAAGTAATGGAAAATATGTCTAATTATTGAAATCATGAAACATATACAATTTAACAACATTTTAATTAAAAGTTTAACAAAAAATTACTTTTCAGGGCTCTTTAAAGCAGCGGTTCTCAATTCCAGTCCTCGCGTACCCCCGCTCTGCACATTTTGTATGTTTCTCTTATTGCTTCAGACGTTTGTTATATTTGACTGTAAGTGCCCTGCGAAGTGGACATTACCGGATATTCCTCCATGATTCCAGTTTGAAGGGAGCGTATATGTTCCATACAAAGGGCATGTAAGTGTGCGAGACGTGAATTTAAATTGTATTTATTTACAGAGGTATATTATGTCCCACTTCACGCTTCTCTAGTAAGTTTCGTATGTGTGTGAAGACGCTGCAGGCAGCGGCACAGCGCAAATCTGTAAATGAATATTCCGAAGTCTTTAAAGTAATGGTTTTATTTTTTATTTATTTTTTCCCAAAGTTTTTTCTTTTCTTTTCTTTCTTTTTTTTTTATGTTTTATTTCAGCTAGTTACCAAGGCAACATTTCCATTTTCATTTAGTTTAACTTGATGTACTCCAATAACTAGAACTAAAACTAAAATAAAAATTGAAAATATGAAAATAAAAAATTATTCCAAATATTAGAAAAAAAACTATAACAGTATCTCAGTGATACAAAAATAGTAAAAATACTAAAATTTCAGTGATACAGAAAATTAAACTTAATTAAAAGGAAAAACAAGATTATTTTTCTTAGCTCATAGATATTTTTTCTTGTTACAGAAAATAAGGCTAAATATCTTATTTTGCTTCTTAAGTAAATGTATCTTGATTTATAAATGTTTAGATATTTGTACTAGAAAACAAGACAAAAATACTGAGCAAGAAAATCATTTTTGCAGTGTATACTGTAGTTTAATTGTGATTGTTCATGAATCATTATTTATGAGCATTAATGTATGAATATATATGATGTTGGTGTTTGCGAGTGCATGAAATTAGGAAGGTCCCAACTGAAGGATGGAAATATTAATGAGGATGAATGAAAGCGTCATCCAGCTCCGGTTCAGTCCTCTGATTGTTTGTCAGAGTCACACTGACCTGTTGCCATGGAGACACACACACACACACACACACACACACACACAGACAGAGGTTGTTGTGTATGTCAGGAGAGCAGAACTGAGTATTCATATTCCTCTTAATGTTAGTCAAGGTCTCCTGCACTAATAACGGTAGTAAAGATCTGCAAGCAGCAGTTACAGACACGTGAACATGACATTCAGCATAGAGAATCAGAGGCCAGATGTTATGACTGTTATGAGCTTTGTGATGACAATTACTTCATTATTTATTTATTTATTTATTTTAGTGCTGTCAAAATTAGCGCGTTAATGCAGGCGATTAATTTTTTCAGTTTAACACGTTAAAATATCTTCATATCAATCAGCCGGTATACTGTGCTTGTAGCGCGTGTTTTTCAATTGCACAAATGCGGCGGCACGAGCTGTATATCATTTCATATTAAAGCGCATGCAATGTGGTAGTTATGTCGTCACTTAAGTCATGAAGTTAACAAAAAGACGATGAAAGCTGCCTGTAAGTATTTGTGATATGAGTCAGATTTAAGAACATGTTTCTGAAATGCAGTGGTTTTCCAAACTGTCCTGGAGCAGCCCAGCACTGTCTCTCTCATCTAACACACCCGATTCAACTCCTCAGCTCATTATAGAGACTTTAAGAGCTGA